ACTCTACTCTACTCTCAATACCCCTCTGATCTCACATTAACATGTTTGTATTCTCTAGTTTTCCCCATAATTTTCTAAAAAGAAATTCAAGAAGTTGCACTGCTCACCATGTGCAATGAACAACACTTGCAATGCATATATATTTGTCCAGTTCTTGCTGAATAAGAAACCTTGAAATTACAGTCTAACAACAAATACATCACAAGAGCTGAGTTCCTGCAAAGCGACATACCTACTATGAGCTGTAACACATTATGCATGAACCATCAAATGTTATGTACATGCATATTTCTAGCTGACCTAAATGTGTAGAATTTGAGGTTTCCATGGCGGTGAAATAAATTCAGAATAGAAAAAGCAATATTGTATGTTCCTAAAATTCAGATGAGTACTATCAACTAAACTTAAAGTAACCTAAATCAAACTGGAATCCAACCAAACCTAAAACAAACAGGCAGCAGTATGTGCAACTCCAAAGATGGGATGAATTTGCAATGTGGTAACCAATTAATGGTGAGACAAGGCTATTAATTTCATCAAAAATACATTCAAATCAGTAACTCTGCATATGAGTGTGACTTTACTTCCCACTCTCATAGAAAATAAAGACGTAAAGGTCCTATGAAAACAAAACCCAATAAAACGTACAGAATGTCACTGCTTCAAAAAAAAAGAACCTCCATACACTGATAACAAACAAAACGTCACATTCTCTAGTTGCAATATAAATACTAAGTTGACACAACAATTTTTTTTTTATAATCCATGTCAATATATGATTACTCACTGTTTAGTTTATTGGCGTCAGTGATCAGCTGACAAAGACATGGGTCCAACTGGAGGTAACAAGATATTGTTTCTACAACAAAATTTTACACGGCGAATGCACACCGAGATGCACTTTACAAGCAAATCTTTTTCGTCACCAGACATGGGCAATATTCTACGAGTTTTGTTCCCCCCTTTTTAACTGAATTCGTCTGCCATGGTTGATGACTTGTGATAAGTATCAACGCAGCCCTTACAACACCCATTTCAGCATTATGCTAGAAGCTTACGGTGTAATGTAACTCCCATACGTGTAGAGCTACCTCAATAAAAGAATTATATCTGCGGCCCAAAACACACTCTTACAAAAGCCTGCCTTTCCTATACACCTTCACAGGAAATTTTATACAAAACTAAAAACCAAAGACGCATAAAATGGTCTGCTACGAACTGTCCTCCTTACAGAGTTCACCATATCACCAGTACTTACTATTCGGGATTCATTGTAGACATCACCTATTTCCTACACACGCAAGTTTAATTTCCAGATGGCACAAACAAATGCGGACTCAATAATTCTCAATCAGTATTAGCCAAGAATCCGAACACCAACAATGGCTACCTTTCCAGACCGAGCAATATTATCCTATAGGGGTCTACAGCATTGACGTAATGCCAAAGTGGCAGGCAGTATGAAAACAAATTCATACAAAATTACAGTAGCTATGTTCAGAAAGAGAACCAAATATTTTCATCTGTGTCAACTTCACCTCCAAATTGTGGAGCTATGGAGACGATATTTTATTCCGAAACGCTAGTAACCGCATAGAGACATTTTTACCACCTTGAGGATTTCAATTCTGAGAACTTACTCGCTCTTTATCTGTATAATTCTGAGTAAATCG